CTCTAATTCTGCTAGGTAACAGAGAATTGTTTTGGTTAGTCAACTCAGGATGTCTCATCAATGACCCTACACAAAGCCACTAATTCACTGACTTGAGCTATGACCATATTTGTGAACTTCATTTTCCTTCAGTTTGGCTAAAGGTGCTTTTTAATATAGGTATACTACCGGTCTCTCTGGGTGTTGGGAAGAAATGCCCTGCAAACATTTTTGTGATATGTGATCCCCAACCAAAAGGCAAACCAATGGGACTCTGGGGTTGCCGTGATGTGAAGACAATTCCCAGATCTGGAGCTATAAGCGAATTTAGAAAGGGACTGGTTCCAGAGGCATTTCCTGAAATACCAGCCTCTCTTCTTGCCCATCAGTTACCTTTCTGCACTCATCTCAATTTTTCACAATTAAACAAAAACGTAGGCATAGCGTCTCCAGAAGGTCACTGTTAAAATGCACCTGGAAAAAGATTGTGATTACAATTGTCCCTCAGATATCTGTGGGGGACCGATTTTAGGAAATCCACCCCCCAAGACCAAAATGCATGGAGGCTCAAGCTCCTGATGTAAAAGAGTGTAGTATTTTCACACAACCTAGGCACAGCCTCCCGTACAGTTGAAATCATCTCTACATTACTTACAATACCTACCATGTTTCCCCGAAAATAAGACAGAGTCTTATATTTATTTTTCCTCAACAAACACCCTAGGGCTTATTTTCAGGGGAATGTGTTATGTTTTTTTAAAGTACGGTACAACAATCTATATTTATGCAAATATAGTTAAGTCGTCTTCTTCTGGAACATCATTATAACTCTCCAAATCCCAAATTCCATCCTGAATTTCTTGTGACTCTATTTCCTTTAGATCCATTGGCCCCAATCTCTCATGTCGAGCAATAGAACTCTCATGGGGCAGATGAGAAGAGCTGCTCATCTTTACTGCTCTGTGACGAAACGCATGGGTTGTGTAAATATGTTGCATAGCCACGCCCATCACTAGGCCTTATTTTGGGGGTAGGGCTTCTATTGCACAAATGCTTAGAAATCCTGCTAGGGCTTATTTTATGGGTAGGTCTTATTATTAGGGAAACACGGTAATACATACTAAATGCTATCTAATTAGTTGTTTTGTTGTATTGTTTTTATTTGTGTCTTATATTATTATTTTTTTACTGTTTTTGAATATTTTTGATCTACACTTGGTGGAATTTGTAAATGCAAGAACCTGCAGAAATGCACAGCCGGTTGAGTTGCCAAACTTCTCTAGATTTACCCCTTTCAATGACTTTGTTAAATTAGGTAACTCTCACTTTGGAAAACTGAGTACCTGGAACTGAGGCTCTGGGCTTAGTTTCACTGGTGAACAGGGCACAGAATCAGAATGAACCTGGGCACCTTGGAGGCTGATTCCAAAGGACCAAGGCTCCCAGGAATAGGTTCTGATCTGGGCTTCTGGAATATTAAGAGTTTACTTATCTACCATTTGATCCAGCAATCCCATTGCTGGGCATCTACCCAAAAGATCCAATGACACTCTACAAAGAAGATACCTGCACTCGAATGTTTATAGCAGCACAGTCCATAATTGCAAGGCTGTGGAAACAGCCCAAGTGCCCATCAACCCAAGAATGGATTAATAAAATGTGGTATATGTATACCATGGAGTACTATTCAGCTCTAAGAAACAACGGTGACATAGCACCTCTTGTATTTTCCTGGTTAGAGCTGGAACCCATACTACTAAGTGAAGTATCCCAAGAATGGAAAAACAAGCACCACATATACTCACCAGCAAACTGGTATTAAGTGAGCAGCACCTAAGTGGACACATAGGTACTACAGTAATAGGGTATTGGGCAGGGGGGAGGGGGTGGGTATATACATACATAATGAGTGAGATGTGCACCATCTGGGGGATGGTCATGCTGGAAACTCAGACTTGTGGGGGGAGGAGAGGAAAGGGCATTTTCTGAAACCTTAAAATTTGTACCCCCATAATATGCCAAAATAAAATTAAAAACAAAAAAAAAGAGTTTACTTAGTCAGGGGACTCTAGACCATTTGAGTCCAGTCTGTCATATATTAAGTGTAGGAGTTTGTGCCTGTTACTTAACTTGTCTGAATCTCACTTTCCCTTGCTTAATTTGTAAATTAGAAGTAATCCTAAATATCTCTTACAGACATTGTTTGAATTAAGAGAGAGAACAGTGCTTTTAGCACCTAGAATAGTATGTGATGCATGGTGGCTACTCGAGAAATATATTTTTTGGATGAATCACATGTATAAAACATGTAGCTCAGTGCCGGATTCACAGAAGGTTTTCGATAAATTAAAACTTTGAATTTTACTGCAGAAACACTCTGAAAACCGTGCCCAGATATCGTGTACGTGAAAGGACACATAACTCTCAGGCCAAGGGAGAAAAAAATGTCCTTGGCTAAGAGAAATGTTTCTTACTGGTGACCAGGTTTAGGATGCTTCATATTCTTAGTCCTGCTGAGACTGAAAATTTACACCAGTAGGTTAGAGGGATGGATTCTAACATCTATTTAGAGTCGCAGAGGTGAGAATTGTTCTGTGTTGCCAGGAACCGAAACAATACAGTCTACAAGACAGAACATTTTCCACTTAGCTGCTACACACATTTAGCGTTTTCTATTTTGGTCCATTATTAATCTATAATTATTCTCCTTCGTGGAGTTGAGAAATCATAGCAGGAGGTCACATCGCTTAAAGAATCAATTCTTCTTCCCTGAACACAGCAAATTGGAAAAAATACAAGCCCGAAAGGGAAAAGTTCTTTCCTATTTCTTGAGTCACACAAAGGAGACTGCAATTAGCTCAGTTTCTAATAGTTTCCACGGCTCTGCTACTGGACATACCTAATTTTTCCTCCACGAGCCTGGTATGTAAATTGCCCAAATCTGTAATCTCTCTCCTGCCCTTTTGAGCTCCTATCACCTCTTTGCTAATTGCAGGGAGTTGGAATAAATTGGAACTTCCTTTAGAGACTTGTGTTTCTCTTTCACTCTGACATTTTCCTGATGCCCCATGACTCGTTCCTTCCATTCGATGCGATGCTGCCTAGTCCCCAAACACAGATGATAGGAAATTGGGCCCTGGGATGTCTTACCAGCTCAGTGGAATTTTGTCCATCCACCCTTATGGCTGTCCAAGTCAATATTGCTAGGGGGGCAGATGGTACAATCCCACTCTGGCCTCACTTCTTGGTCCGCACTCAGAAATATAGGAATGCTGTATACTGTGACTAGAAATATGACAAATATTTCCCTCAAAATATAATCATTCCCTTTGACATGCAATGGTAAATTCAATTTAAGCATTGTTTAACTGACCCCCAGTTCAAAGCTCCTCTTCCTCCTAGATGATATTGGCTAAGAATATTTAGGGTCATCTCAGGAAGGGTAGAGAGCACTTTGTTGTGATATTAAATATGGTATGAGAGAGTAAAACAATGCATGGACTTTGCTAACAGGAAAAATCTGCTCCAAATTCTTTCTCCAGTTTCTTTCCTTTTGGCTATGTGGTCTTTGGAAAATTATTTAATCTCTCTTAGGTTCATTGTTCTTATTTGTAAAAGGGAGTTAATTAGTAATATCTACTTTATAGGGTGCTGAGAGGATTCAGTGAATTAATAAATGGAAAAGAAGCTCAGAACACCGTTTAGTACATAGTTATGTCTCAATATAGTGTATCTATTTGTAAGCCTATCTTTTAATGCTCTAGTTTTCTGTCACTATCTAGTAGGGATAGGCCCAGAGCTATGTAATGATAAAAGTTATACCAGGTGTATTTCAAAGATCCCAGTCTCTCCATATAGATCTTGACAAAATACGTGTATCTTTCTGACCTGATTACTGAAGAGGACAATCCCATCATCAGAAATTCATTGCTTTAACCTGGGGTTTAGTGATCTTCCAGGAAAACACCAACGCTCCCAGGTAAGCCAACCCATTAAGCCAATAAACAGTAAAGACTACCATTTATGAAGTAATACCTCCCACTCGGGGCATTTTCCATCTTATTTTAAATTGTTTAACAATCCTGTAAGATAAACATTATCTTGCTCACATGTGTACACATTTAGGCTTATGGTGATAACCACAGCAAAGATGGACGCGAAGTCACGTAGTCAAGTTTTCTGCTCTGTTTTTATTGAGTACCACGCGCTAACCAACTGAGCTAACCGGCCACTCATATCTGCTCTGTTTTTAAATAAAAGAAGTGACAGAATATAATCATTTGTCTCAGGAAAAAACATATGACAGACTGACAGAAAAGCTGTCGCTATATTATAAAATTAAATTAAGTTTAGTCACTGTTAAAACATTTTGTATTGTGAAAATATAAAATAAGCACAGACTAGGGAATACGAAGATCCAAGGTCAAGGTGGGTCTTGACCTTGTAAACAGGTAGGTCTGAGGAACTCTGAGAATATTAATTCTCCCTTGTAGTCTTGTCTCTTAAGGACTACTAAAGGGTAGGGCATGTTTGGCAAAGGCAGTTAAAGTTGCCCAGAATGCAAAGAGATGCATAGACTGTTGGGGTAGGGGAGAGAAGGGGGAGTTTGGGGGAGGCCTAAGAAAAGAACAGACAGGGCAGGAGGGTCCTTGTTTACTATCAAGAGCAGAGGAGGACAGAGTCCCAGTGAAAGTGAGGACTCATCCCAGGGCTCTTACGTCTATTTGCTAATTAGAGTATGTTCCATCTACTGTCACAATCATCACTATACTCTGTTTCCTGAGTGATGTTATATGTTACACAGTTCACTTAATATAAAATAAAACCAATAAGAGCACGGTAGATAGAACACAGGCTCTAGATTCAGAAAGATCTGGGCTTAGATCCCACTCTACCACTAACTTGCTCTGTGATCATGGGCAACATGTTTAATTTCTCTCAGCCTCACATTTATTACCTAAATGTGTGTGTGTGTGTGTGTGTGTGTGTGTGTGTGAGAGAGAGAGAGAGAGAGAGAGAGAGAGAGAGAGAGAGAATAAGAATATTTCCCAAGGTTGTGTCAAAATTAAATAATATACCTGAGGAGACATACAGTTGGTGTCTAATAAATGCTAGTTATTATTATCATGGAAACATCTTTTGATGTGAGCTACTGGAGGTTAGGAACCATGTCTTATTCATTTCCATACTCCTGGGGCCCATTTTAAAGTTAATGCTTAATAAACAAATGTTGGTGACTTATGTTTAAACTAACACACACTGGGAAAGTATTTCTGATTTACCAAAAAAAAAAAAAAAAAAAATTACAGTGTAACATCAGATGCAATCAGACCACACAAGTCTACGGTAGCGAATGGCGTGTTTTCGAATAGATGGATGACTTCTTTAGTTAAAGCTTCTGTAGCTGCTTTGCCTCTTAGTTTTGCTTCTTTTTAAACAAAAGGAACAGCACTGTCACCATTTTCTGTGCTGAATGAAAGAGGTCCTATGCAAGTTGTCAGATAGTGTAAGAACAACTTGGATTATTGGGAGGCAGCTCAGCCCTGAGTTTGAATGGAAATGCTCTGACACCAGACACTCTGTACACCCGTTTCTAACCTCATTCCGTGCTGCCAAACCCCCACCACGTGCCCAAGCTCTGCAAGTGTATTCTGGAACAGTCTGCCAGGCTTGTTCTAAGAGAAAGCAAAACACAGGGTTTACTGCTGCTCATAGATACGGTACTAGATTTCTCTAATTCCTTGGAGATGGTGGAGCATGGGGATCATTACGACATTATTGCTTCATTGATAAGTACAAATAATTCTATATTCAAGGAATCGAGAATTTTTAAGGGGATCTTAAAGAAGGATGAGGCTCTCAACGGTTGAAAGGGAATTCCTGTAGACTGGGTATCTGGCCTTAGGTGATTCTGTGTGGTTCACTGAATGAGTCAAGCTTACATTGCAAAATCCACCGACGATAATAGTAGCACTGTCCTAAGGCTGGACACATGCTGATTTGAAAATGCAAATGATGACAGCACAGTCAAGAACAGGACTGTTCAATGTTACTAAACAACTTCCTTGCTCATCTGAACCTATATAGCGCATTCAGTTTTCATATACACACACATCACACTCAGGTTTAATCCTTTTGACCTGCAAGGAAAAGGTTAGAAAAAGCAAAAAATTATGCTCATACACTTAGAGATATGTATTTTAAAATTATTTTAATTAATTTACATTTATTTTTTTTTAATGTACATAACATTAGTCAAGAACAATGATAGGAAAAAGAGTTCTGGACCTGCAGCTGGAGCAAAGAAGTGGATGGATGGTAAACCAGATAACAGATGTAAGATGTCCAATGTCTGAGAAGAAATGGCCACACTATTTGCAAGGACTTCTCGTACTGGCAGTTTATGATATTGCCCATGCATGGATATCAAAACGAACAAACAAAAAGAGAGAGAAAGGGGGAAAATTGATTAAAATGAAGCTCTTATTATCTTCTGTTGGAAAAGAAAGCATGATTACCTCCTGAATTATTAGCTGTGTAACTCTAGTCCAAGTCATGTTCTAACAATTTCCCTGTAATTAGAAATACACGTATCTGCATAAGTTACTGCCAAAGTGCCTGGGTATTTTACTGGCATTAGTAATCAGGACATGGCAAGGGAAACACAGCCAGTGGGCAGAAGTCTTCCTAGTGTTTGGGCCAAAGTGGTAAAAAGAGGCTGTGCCTACATAGGATGAGACAAAGACTTGGTCCTAGGAAACCAAAGTCGCAAGACACTTACCTTCACATTTTGGTCAATTTCACCAAGCCTGAAGGCTTCCTTGCTTTTGGTCCAATTCTTCCATTTGGGTTCCATCATTCTATAAAACAAAGAGGAGAGAAACATTGGGTAAACACTTTGTATGCCATAAACCCCATCCATATTGCAAAATATACAGCCTGTTGCTTCGGTTGACTTGTACAAACCACATTTCATTCCACTCCCACACTCAGATCACTGAGGTACAACATTGCATAAGGCTATACCTTGGTCCTGATGCAGTCAACGCTCATTTATGAAAACCTAACACATGGGCTGGAATGCACAAACTTTCCCGTGTTACACTAATGTATGTTTTCCAACAGTAGACTAGATATGACTAGGTTCTATTCCAAAAGCAAAACAAAAATCAACAACTTACCTGGTCCAAAAGAGTCTGTAGAAATTTCTCTAAGTCTTGAATCAACTGGAGAATATATGGGTTAGATCCAACCTAAAGACATTTTCAAGTGAGGTCAGGGGTCCAGGACAACAAATTGCTGTTGCTGAAATACAAGCCGGATTTCCATCAGGAAGGGATGAAATCACCAGGAATGACCAGGGTGCTGTTGTGAGTACAGTTTCCACAGACTAGCCGAGTGGTGGTATCTCAGCACCTGATGTGTGCGTAGTTCTAGAAATTTGCTGGAGAAAAACCAGCAGCTACCTGAGCAGGAGGGAGCATTGTTCCTTTTGGCCAAGGGTGGACTCCAGTCACACCTAAGCGTGAAACTCTTAAGCAGGAAAAAACCTGGAGTTCTATGCACAATGATAGCCCTAAAATGGGTCTTCCATTTAGGCCTATTGAAATCTGCGGTCAAAGTCAGACAACACGTCCCAACAATGAAACCCTGCTTTAGAACGAATGAAGCTGATTTCCACAAATGCTGTTTCCAGCCCGATATTTTAGAAGGAGTCTCTTGGGGCAGCCAGAGGGAGGGGTGGAGAATCCATTCAAATAAAGCGACTATGCTAGGGTTTGATGGAGAGGTGAATTTTATGACCCTGTCACCCATATCTGCTTCTCCTCCTGGGCATGGAATTATATTTCCCCAAGACATTGAAGTCAGACTTGGATTGATTTGCTCTGCTGGAAAATGGGAGTGGAAGTGACTTGGATGGTGTCTAGGTAGAATCTTAAGATGCTGTGTGTGGTTCACCTTTTTCTTTGCCTTTGCTAAGGTACATCAGTATTAAAATCACATCACTCCGCCAACACTGTTGGTCCCCTAGAGAGCATGACATGGAGCAGAGCCCCCGGCCAACACTCACTGAACGTATCGTGTATTTAAAAAACAAACTGTGGTTGTTGCAAACTGCCAAGATTTGGGGCCAGTTTGTGATCGCAGAACGATCTAGCCTATTTTAGCTGAAACATACAGCGACTTGGAAGAAAACAAACTGTAGGATCGAAAGTGCCTTTGTTCATATTGTGTTCATGCACTAATTAACATAACTAGTTAGACATTTCTTCACTTCCAAGATGGTGAGCATCTCTTCCCAACAGGTGACTTAAAGAGAACTTATCCTGTCCCATATGAGAATAACATTTAATTGGTCGATAAATTGTGATTTGCCTCATACAATTTTTTTTGTCTTTATTGCTAAAGGGGCTATCAAATCGAAGGCAGTCAAATGGATTTCAAATAGGTCTACTGATGTGTTGTTACTTCTAAAACTCACATGCAAGAAAGCAAATTGCATATGGAATGGAATCTACCAGAACGATTGGCATATTGTGGCAGGGCTGCTGGCGCTGAGCTGGCTTTGGCCCTCTGCCCCTTCTTGCAGCTCCTCTGCTAGCGAGATCTGCCCGCTGGCCACTGGAAAGGCAGCCTCCGGTCCCTGTAACTTCACATCTTTAGAGGTTTTGGGAATTGGTAAGAAGAGGCTCTGAGCATCTGTGATCCAGGGAGAATAATCAGGGCAACAGAAAATCAGAAAGCAGAGAGTGGAGGGAGAAGAATAGTGATTAAACACAGTGATGTTTAATGCTATTTCCAAAGAGACATAAGACATTTTTAATGGTTTCCTTGTGATTTTCTTTTTTTTTTTTCCCCCAGGGAAAATGTTCTGTTGGAAAGCAGTATGGCAGGAAAAAGGAACAAATTCATGTCATCGTGGCTTTTCTGCTTCTTCTATAGGCTTAAAGAGTTAAAGCTAGCCCAGATGTGCAAGGACAACAGATGGGTGCATTCTGATGACTTGTACTGCTGGATAATAAAATGACCTAAGAGTCTATTTAGAGAAGTAGAACAGCTACTCTCGGGCTGTTTACAGACTTGGAAAATATCACGATAAGCAAATGCAGGCAGTTCAAAGGAATGATAAAAAAAAAAAAAAAGAAAAGACACGTGGATAAATAATGACCTGATGTTGTTGCGAAAATGTAGTGTAACTCCTGCATTGTTAATATAAACACAGATGACCTTTGCATTTACTCAACTTTCGTCTTCGAGACAGGAAACAGCAACTGATCTTTATCGGAAAAGTAGAATCTTCCACTTGCTTCTGTTGCACTGACATTAGGGGTGGATGTCAGAGCATAGCAATGTCACTATCTTTTCAAAGCACATGCTGAAAAGCGGATAGGCGGTTGAAAGGAAAACTTATCCTGGCCATGTGCTTTGTGTGTCGCAGAGACAGGGTGGGCAAGGTTAGGGAGAAGGCGGCGGGCATGTAGACGGTCGGGAGTGGAGGCTGGGAGGGGTGATCAGAGAAAGAAAGGCCCGTGACTACACTTTCTGTGTGCATGCTCATCAATTCATCATCTGCACAAACTTAAACATCTCCTAGGGCAGGCATCCTCGAACTATGGCCCGTGGGCCACATATGGGCCGCCTAGCACATGTACCCGGCCCACCGGGTGTTTTTCCCACCGCTGCCTGTCCTGCTTAGCAGCCGACTGGTCCCGGGCCCACAGTGCGCACTCTCCAAAGGTGTGAGGGACAGTGAACTGGCCCCCTGTTTAAAAAGTTTGGGGACCCCTGTCCTAGGGTAATGGTTGGTACTTAATGAACAAACAAACATATCTGAAGAGCAGTTGTTTCATATGTTACAGTAGCTAGGGAGTCCTATACTCTGGACATATTATAAACTAAATCACTCACAAAGAACTGTTTATGAATTACACAATATTTTGCGTCAGAAAAGTTTTAAACATCTGAACTATCTTTTTTGTGTCTCCAATAAAAATGAACTCAGGGTTTTTTTTCTTTTATGGAGTACACATAAGCACGCACGCAGCTACCCATCAATATGATGCTTTAAAAATCCGTCCACTGATGTGACAGGTAGACCACAGCAGCCTATGGCCACCGATGAACATTCTGTCCTCGCTCTCCCTTGGCTATTTATCTGGTCGTTGTTTTATAAGCTTTCCCCCCTAAATGACTTCACCTAAATTGACCTTTCATGTCCTGTTCTACAGTCCATTTGGTCTGGGTTCCGAAACGGATCGTCTCAATATGGAACCAATTCTGATTATTCTCATTATGAAATTTTTCTCACCTAGAATAACACTTGTAGAAATCATCTTTATGTTTCTTTATAGCCATCACATGGAGAACTACATCCTATTTCCTTGGACCTGTGGCAGGATGATTTTCCTTAGGCTCTACCCACTGTGACCCAGCCAGAGAGATTACTTCTTGCGAAAGGTTTCCAGTTCCATCTGCGAGCTCCCACCGCTGCCTCTGAGTATGCACCCAATGGTGAAACTAAGGATGTTTCCTTTCCTATTCCAAATAAATACATTCACGTACAGTTTTCCTTAATCCTCTAGCTCTTTCATTATGGGCCTTTAAACAGTAGAAACTTTACATGCAGGGACTAACCACTGTCTAGTAGTCAATCAGAAAGGATGCAACTGTCATCTCAATCACAGGTCAACAAGCTTTCTCTACAAAGGGTCACATAGTACATATTTTCAGCTCTGTGGGCAACATGGGCCCTGGGTCTCTATTGCAATTAAATAACTCTGCCATGGTAGTGCAAAAGCAGCCATAGATATAAACAAATGGATGTGTCCCAATAAAACTGTACTTACAAAAACTGATGAGGGCTATGGTTTTTGGCCTGCGGGCTGTAGTTTGCTAACTCCTGATCTAAATCAGACACCCATGGCCGTCAAAAATAAGAGTCTCATCCTGGTGAAATCACACTTACTGTGGCCTTCACACTTCCCATTGACTTATTTAGGGGATGTAAAACAAATAAACAGGGAGAGATATTTACTACTTTCTAGACAGGACTCTACTATAGATATTAAGAATATTGACATTATCCACCTTCTGCCTGAAAGCACTTGCTCTATGGATATTGGCAATTGATGCAAACGCCACTCAGAAGAGATATGTATTTAGACTTTTCCTTTTATTAGGTATGTTAAGTAATCTAGATAGGAATTTTCTTTATTCTTTTCTTTGTAGCTTAGGCAGTGTCATTCTTTTTAATGCCCTTGACATTCAGTGGCACTTGCCTAGCCAAGATGGGCTGGAGAAATGCTACTGATTTATAGTAAATCATAGAAATGACAAGCTATACAGGACCTAAAATCATAGCTACTTTGTAATGAGCATCTCCAGCCTGCCAAATATTATGCCAGGGACAATCATATACAATCTAATCTATCTTTACTGCATCTTATAGATGAGGAGACTAAGGCTCAAATATATGGATTGAAACACCCAATAATCTAAAGCTAGTAAAAGGCAGATTTGGGACTTAGATCAGGTCTCCTGACTCACTCTAACATGCTCTGTGTACCAAAATGACAAGATTTCACGTTGTTCTTCATTTACCAGATTTCCCTGATTCCTGGCCACAAAATGGGTATCGGTGCCTTTGATCTCATTGAACACTAAAAAGAGCACCTTAAATTAACATTTCGAAGTGAGTGTATTTTGGGAAGCCAGCGTGAATTGTATTGAGGCAAGGGTCTTGTAGCACTAATGCCAATAATGACCCAGCATCTCCTGGCTGCTCACTCTGGTCCTTCAATGTAAAGTTTACGTAATGCTATTGTTGAAGCCACAAGTGAAGAAATGAGGGGAGATCAAA